TTTATTTACTGCAGAGAAAATATTTACACCTGAGTCAGTAAATAGTGCAAAAATCTTGTTATTGATTGACCATTCACTGAAGATTTTGTTTGACGTATTAAATAAATATTCAGCTTTTCATTTCAGACATAAACTTAAGGTCCAGGTTTCGGTCAAGTAGAGTCATATTTTTGTCAATAAAATGACAAAAGTCACACCGAGGTAGTTATTTTTACCCAATGATGACCAACTATCACAATTAATTGTAATGAAACGTCATCCCTTCAATTCTAGCATTAAAATTGATTTAAGTTTGTCCGTAATTGATGAAATTAATTTCTTGCTCACTGTATTTATGCATGGCATTTTGTAGCGAATATGCGGATGACAATAGAAATACTTGAAAATAACATTTTGGGTATATAGCGAGTACAATGATTTATTATATATTACTAGATGTCTAACTTGCGGGATTTTATTAGACAAAAAGTGAAGTCGCTTTTTTTTCGTTTATAACAAAAGTCCGCCATTTGTAAAAAGGGCAAAAGCTGAAGCTGATGTGTACAATAAAAGTTAAAAATACACATCAAAAGTTCCCATTAAATTAAAGATAATTCAAAACAATTATAAAATACTTTTAAAAGTTTTTTTATGAGCCTATGTTTATTAAAAAGTATTTTAATTCATAAAAATGTTTCAAAATAGTAAGACATTTTACTTTTCTATTCAAAACTTTTTTAATCGAAAGTAAATTAAGAAATCATAAATTATTATTTTACAAGTATTACAATTTTCGCTTAACACTTTTATGTAAATAGTATTTAAGTTTAAAATATTACTTCATTTAATGTTAAGAAAAGTTAAAAATATTAGTTTACAAATTTAATCCGCCATTTGTAAAAAGGACAAAAAGCAGCTTCACTTTTCGTAATGAAGTTAGACATCTGGTTATATAATATATCATTGAGCGCGTATATCTTTTTAAATAAATAAATTACGATTATTTAAACGCATTAAGCCTAGATTAATAATGGATTTATTTGTTTTTGACATTGTTTATTCAAAATAAAAATCTAGTCGTTTTTTACTCGTTCGAATATTAACAAATATTAACTTATGTTAAAATAAATTTGTACCACATGTTACTTCACTTACTTTACCTAAATATTAATGAGATTGTTATAACTTTAATATAAAGTTGCATTTTTTTTAGAGTTATGTAACACAAAAATCGCAAAGGCATAAATCGTTTTGAAACCATTATAAATCTCTAAATAACCACTCGAGAGTCATTAGCCGTTTACATTGCAACAATGATTTCATGTCATGCGATAAAGGTCTCAAGGGAATTGCTGTTGAGGAATAATAATGACTTACGTGCGTGTTGTGAACTATGCATTCTAAGAAGGGAGTGTCAAAATTCTGTATTTCTTGTTTAACCAGTTAATCTTTATTAGATTTTAGAGAAAAATTTGAAAAACAATTTAGTTTTTGCTAATTGTTTGAGGCTGACCTTCTACTTTATTTTTAAAAATTTACAGATATTAAAAATAAAATTCTTTACAGACTCTTTGTGTTTAAAGTACGCATCTTTTCTTTCAAATTTACGCTATTCAAATTTAGATTGGATGAATTTGATTTTTAATCGTTGTGTTTCAAAATAAAAAAAGTATTTTCAAAAGAAGTTTTTATGTAATCAAAACGACAGGCAAAAAAAACTTTTTATTTATACTTTCAAGCTATCAAAAAGGCTATTCAAGCTTTTGGTGAGGGTAAATATAATCCCTAAAAATAATTTTATAAAAGTAAAAAGTCATGGAGCATAGTCTAATCAGGCGAGAGAGGTGAAGGAGAAGGTATTGTTTGTCCCGGACAGCAGATGTCCATGGGGCATCAATGAACTGTAACTAATAACTAATAACTTTGTATAAAGATAAACAAATTCTTTAAGAAAGTTTACTTGTATTTGATAAATGTTATTGTTATATTTGCAACACCAATCAAGACCTTTGAGCCAAAAACCAATGCCCCAAAATTTAAAAAAACCTGTTACTAAAAATGAAAAAGCTCCCTAAATTCAGTAAAAGGCCCTCAAAAATTTAAAAAAAGAGTCACCCCCCCACCCTAAATAAGGTAGGAGCGTAGGGAGCCTATCCGCGGCTTTGAGTATATCCTTGCTTTTTGGTAGCAGTTTCTTTTAAAAAGTAGCAAAAATAGTACTATTTTCTATATATTTAGAGTTTTATTAAAGTAAACTTTTTAAAGTAAAGTTTTTAAATTTTAAATTTTAAACAAAATACGTTGATTATGCCTATTGAAAATAATTTTTATCTGTTAGATTTTAAAGTCCCACCAAATAGTTTGAACCCAGAGGTGGTATTTAGGAGGACTGGAGCCATGCCACCCCCCCTCTCCCACTTCTCCCAAGAAACAAAATTGAATTGTGCTGCTCAATGTTATAATTTTGGTCTGGGAAGGAGGGGGGGAGAAAGAGTTGTTTTCACAAATTGGCCCTCCTCCTAAGTTTTTTCTAAATTGACGCATCTGTTTGAGCCTAATCTGGGAAAAGTAAAACTCTACGCCTATGGACTTATCAGTAGCAAACAATACATATAAATCCATATATTGGTCAGATGTCTGATGTTACGTTTCCGCAATAACACTTGCTTTATTTAAATGATTGTTTTGCGGCTAGCCAGGACTGGCATTTCAGAGAGCCATTATCAAGCCAGTGTATACAGCGTCGATTCAAATTTTTGAAAAAGAGTTCCTAAATGTGTTAGTAATTTTATTTTATTCTGTTTTAATTACCTGTGATGTCACAAATTTGTAAACCCTCTTTCACTCCCCGGTTACAAAGTGTTATTTTAAAAATAATTGCAGATTCTTCTATAAAATAGTGTGAGGTAGTTAAACCTTTTTCTTTGCCACCACAGTGTCATAACACAAAAATTTTAAGTATTATTTTATGTTATTTTTAAAATTTAATTATTTATAAAAACATTTTAATAAAACTTTGTACAATTTCAGTAATAAAATAAATATAAGCAAATTTTAAAATTTAATAGTAATATTTGTATATTGTGTAATACTTTTAGAATATCGAAATAATAAATATATTTCGAAGCAAATTTTACATTTTCGAAAGTAAAAAACTATTTTGATAATAATTTTAGAATTTCAAAATCGCAAAAATATTTCGAAGCAAATTTTACAATTTTAAAAGTAAAAAATTATTTCGATAATATTTTCAGAATTTTAAAATTGCAAAATTATTTCGAAGCAAATTTTACAAATTCAAAAAGTAAAAAATCGTTTCGATGCAAAATTAATTACTTTAAAATTATTTCGAACTTACAGAAACGAAAATAGAGTTTTGAAAACTCTTTTTTTAATCGAAAATTCAACTTTGGCTTTCGTGAACAACCGTAATTCATATACCATCTAAAAAAAATTGAATTATTAAAGTGTCTGTAAAATGGAAACGAACAGCAACAAAAATTAACAAACAAAAAGTTTGGTTAAAACTATTGATCAGGTAGTTTTAGCTGTTTATTTTATTAAAATAATTTTTTCATTATGAATAATATAAGTCAAGAAGAACATTAAATAATATAATACTTTAATTAAGACTTTTAATTATATATATATATATATATATATATATATATATATATATATATATATATATATATATATATATATATATATATATATATATATATGTATGTATATACATATATGTATATACATATGTATATACATACATATATATATATATATATATATATATATATATATATATATATATATATATTATATATATATATATATATATATATATATATGTATATATATACATATATATATATATATATATATATATATATATATATATATATATATATATATATATATATATATATATATATATATATATATATATATATAATATATATATATATATATATATGTATATACATATGTATATACATATGTATATATGCCATACATATGTATATACATATGTATATATGCCCAAAAAATAGTTGGGCTAAATCTGAGCACATAATACCTTTATGTGCATCCCACAAACTAGAGATGATCTCCCTAGTGTGTGGGATGGCTTTGCCTTTTAGTGAGTACTGAGCACAAAGCCAAATTCAGTTGTTTCAAATGGTTTTCTTTGTTTATGATGAATGGTATATTATTTGCAGATTAAATAAGATTTTTGTTTATTTCAAAGTTTTTTTAATTGTGTTTTTGGTATACTTTTTTTTTGTAGCATTAAGTTTGCTTCTGCATGTTTTTATGGTCTTGTTCTCAGTGTTCTTGTTCATATATTGATATTTTGGGCTAAAAATTCAGACTAAAAAATTATTATTATTTTACTAATCGACATTTTAACTACGTTACACGTATTTACAACTGTAATTATAGTTACACATAGTTGCAACTGAAGCAAATATCAAATTTTATATTATTACTACGTAAGCTCTATTGAAAAATGTTAAAGCAAAAGTATAAAAGAAAAAGACTTTGGCATTACTAGTTGGTGCTATACTGTTTTACTGGTAAGAGGTAAAGTTGAAGAGATAAATTTGATTATGAAAGTTTAACTATGAGGTCTTGTTTGTAAAATATAAAGTTAACCTTGACTCAATGATGTCAATTATTTAAAATATGTTTATGGAATTAATTAAACTATTATATTTTTAATAATAGAAATGTTTATAGAAATGGCAGTTAAATAAGAATAATTAGAAAATAAACTTTAGATACATCTTTGATAACACTGTATATTTGTATTTTTTAGTTTTAGTAAAAAAAAAAGTTTTCATTAATTTAAACTTATTTTGTAAATAGTCTTTGTTACTTTGCTGTCTGTTCAAACTTAATTTGATTATATCTTGCCAACCGGTACCCATGCGGAACGATCCGTTATGGATAATATTTATTATTTTTTATTCGTTATTGTTAATTTTATTTTCTGGTTGAATTAATAATTTTTGCTTGTTTAGAGTCATTAGTTTCAATTATGGCAACTCAATAATGATCAACGCTTACTTAGTTCTTAACTAAGTTCAACGCTTACAACTTCACAAAGTTCTAAGTTCAACGCATACTAACTTACTGAGTTCATTACTCAACAGTGTTGACTTTTGAAAGGACGATTTTCTCGAGGTTAACATCTTATATGGTTAGATGTTATTCGAATGAATTGAGATTTCTGAGACATTTTAATCAAATTCGATTACCAACCTGGTTTGACTATTTATTTTGTATAAATTTTTTTACTTAATTTGAAATAATATTACTTAGTTTAATACTATAACAAGTCAAGCCAAAAACTTTCTTATTTTATTTTGTATATAAAGTATTAATTGTGCAAAGCCACTAAATAATATAAATGATATTTATAATTATTACATAATATTTTATTTAAACTGTTTTCGATTTTTTTTTTATTACGGCAATTTTTTTATATAAGCAACCTCAGCATAAAACTAAAACTTTTTTAGCTTGTTACAGTATTAAAACATTAAGGTAAAGTTTTTAATTATAAATAATTTTTGATACAATTTTTAATGCACTTTTTCTTTGTACATGGTACATAATTTATAATTTGGTGCTAAGTTATACTTCGCCATAAAATATAAATAACATTTATTTACGCAGTGTGAACGGTTATATGGTTTACAAATATTTTGTATTTATTGCGTTATTAGTTCAATTTAATTGGAAACTTATCTTTTTATTTTCAAACTTCCATTCTAAACCCCTAAATATCGATATATCGAGTGTTAATTATCAAAGGAGCATAATTAACAAAATGCAAATTTTGAGTTATGTCTACTATTGATAATACAGTTATCATGTTATCATTATTCACTGTTATCATTATCAGTTATCATTATTCACTGTTATGATAACATGTTATTTACGTACATTTATTTAATGGCAAGTACAATTGTTAAAATCGCACGCACGAATTTTGTCTTTATCGAACGCAACGAACTTTTAAAACTTATTCTAAAAATTTGTATGGAAAACTTAAGTTCATCTCAAAACTATGTTTTTTTAGTTAGACCCCTGTGATCCTAACTCTTTATATAGACTGTATCAAAAGAAAACTTTTATATATAAAACAAAATTAGCTGTGAAGTCTTTTTTCTGGTCAATTTATGTTAACAAACTTTGTGAAAATTAACATGACTTTATCGAAACCAACGAAATTTTACAAAAGCTTTTTGTAAAGTCAAGTATTTGCAAAACAATTTTTTGGAGACGTTTGATTTCAATACGCGTACAATATTTAATAGATTTGTTACACAAAACTTACCAGAAGTAAAGTCATGTTTGTGTGGGTCAAGAAGGTTGTTGGACTGCGTTGCAAAATCTCAAGTAGTCAATCATCACTTTTCACCAAATGTATATGATGTTGGTTACTTTCCAATTATTCTTACTTCTGATAAATATTGTCTACTCTACTTTTTAATAATAGCTTGTCATATTAATTATGGTTTATACAAAAGTCATAGATGTGCAATTAATGTTAAAAACGGCAAACTTGTGGGACTAAAATTGTTACAAACACTGATGATAAAATATTAATCACAAACTAGTGATGATGATTATTAGAAAATACCCGGTCTCTAAGTTAATTTTTTTAGAGTTTTGTTTATTTCTTTGAGAGTTTAACTATATTTGCGACATTGGTTAGAAAGAAGCCGTGGTAAAACAACCGTGCCGTCGTGATTAGAATTTTGGCTCAAAACTAAAAAGTTTGTGGTTCAACGCAGGCTCTAGCCAAATAAGCGACATTGGTAAGAAAGGAGGCATAAACCTCCAGGTTAAATGCTCCTCCGAGACGCTATGTGATAAAACCGGTCACTTTATTAACCAAAAAAAAAGGGGGCGTGAAGCTCCTAGTTAAATACTGTTCTGCGGTGCTTAGTGATAAATCAGTTAGGTCTTCTAAATAACTAATAAAATAATAAACGCTTACCATAAATTATTTTTGTAGACTAGGCAACAAAACAACTTGCCTCTTGTTTCAGGCCTTACTTGTATTGAATTGAAATTAAACAAAGGAGGGCGTATAACTTCTTTCCTCACTTGCTTTTCGTGCAAAATTGTTTTACACGATTCGCAGAATCATTGTGGTACCCGAGAATCACTGATATTGACCTTTGTCTCGTACAGTTGGCATGTTCAATCTGCTTGGAATGCAGTAAGCTGTCTTTTTTTCAGACACAACAAGCACACAAATTTTCAATTTTTATTGTGAACCTTTGGCATTTTGGCAATTCACTAATCAACTTTTCTAAATCAAACTATCCCTTTTACAAAATTTAACATACTTACTAATATTATTAATTACAGACAAATAAAATCAAGGAAAGGTTGGCATTATCAGGATTTTGGCAAAGACCTCTACAACAGGCAAAGGTCCGAGTCTTTACCAAGAGGTTGGTAGTTTTCAAGGATTTACCCTTCTTCCTTCATTGAATTTCTAGAATAAAATATAGTAATGGTTAAGTATAATTCATGATCGAGTTAAAAATCGATTATTCGATTAAAAAAAATCGAGTAAAGCTTAATGATCGAGTTAAAAAATGAGACTCTAAAATCTATACACAATAGGAACATCAATTGTATTTATTTGAATAGTAGAAAATACATTGGAAAAGTAAAGAATAAAAGGACCCAGTAGACTTTTTCTTGAATCTATTAAAAAAGAATAATGCACTATATATATTAAATAATCCTTGAAATCGGTCTTCTTTCTCATTACAGATGGCTCCCTAGAACAAACTTTTTCTAAAAATTATAGATTTTTTTTTTATTTTTTAAGAGGAAAAAAAACTTAAAAGCCTACGTTAACTTGCCTTCTGTAATTTTTAAAATTGCAAAACTTTATATTGCATTCAAACTCCAAACTCTCTATAATATTTATAAATTAGTAATCCTCTGGCTTTTCATTCACCTAGCCTCAATAACTCTAAATTCTCTATCTCTTTATCAAATTCTATCTACCTTTTCTTATCATTAATTCCTTGGTTATTTATTCTGCTTTTCCTTTTATATATTTATTTTTTTCATTTTGCTATTTTTATTGTTAGTAAACTATCATTGTTATTGACGTGGATTTTCTTGAATCTTTATTTATTGTCATAATCAATTTATTTTCTTTCATTTGTCTCTATTTATCTTAACTTCATCGCTAATAATATCACTGTAATTGACGAGGATTTTCTCGAATCTTTATTTATCGTCTATATATATACTCATATGTGTGTATATATATATATATATATATATATATATATATATATATATATATATATATATATATATATTGACTTAATGTTTATTGTTCTTTTAATTGTTAGTAGTATTTACACTATTAATGTAATAGTATTATTACTAATAATATATTTCTAATATATTGATATTTTGTATTAGGTATTTGCTTTATATTAGTACTCGTGCTATTGTAAATATCCTTGAAATGTTAAACAACTTGTTTCAGAATATATTTGATTTGATTTGATTTATTGCTGGTGTTTATTATACTTGTTTTTTTTTTCATTATTATTATTTATTTGTCATTATTAAGGTGCTACCATAAGTCCTTGTGAACTCATTACAGAGCACTGTGGAATCGTTTAACTAGGAAGTTCACGCCTCCTTCCTTACCAATGTCATTTATTGAGCGGAGCTGTCTAACTTCAATCCTCTTGGTTCCGAGCCAGAACTCTAGCCACTACGTCATGGCTGTACAAACACACGGTTTCAAATTAAGGTAAAGCACTTTTGAACAGACCTTTGGATAGGCCTCGGCATATTTTATTCCAATTGAAATAACTAAAACATCAAAAAAAAGAAGTTTTTCATCAAAATGAACAAGTCGTTCATTAAAAAAAAAATTGTTTATCAAAATGAAGAAGTTTTTCATCTCAAAAGAAGTTGTTCATCAGAAAGAAGAAGTTCTTGTAATGGTCAAGATAACTACAAAGAGATAATCGTGGTTTGCATTTAGTAAATGCAATAATTAAAAACAAATATCAGCCGTTGACAATAACTTAAAAATAAGTAAAACATACAGTGTACATAAATTGACTGACTTTAACAGGTAGAACATGCAAGGAGTGTACCACTGAGGATTTTAGTGTGGGCAGGCAATCTACTAATTTATCTATTTAAAAAAAAATAAAAGTTTAATAATGAGAACTCTAGTAATTGCTTTTATTCTAAAGTTGTTTTAAGCAATGGAAAATACAATTCCTTAATAAATGGTTTTTAAGAGGAGGACTAAATAAGCACAAATTTCATAAGTCCAAACTGGCATAAGTGCGAATGGCGTAAGTGCAAACTGACGTGCAAACTTGCATAAATGCAAACTTGCATAAGTGCAAAGCAGTTTCAAAAACTGGCACAAGTGCAAACTGGCATACAGTGCGAACTCACATAAGGTGAACTCGCATAAGTGCAAACTGGCATAAGTGCGCCGAAAAAATTTGCAAACATTGGCACAAGTGCAAATTAGCATAAGTGCGAACTTGCATAATTGCAAATTGGTATAAGTGCCAATTAGCACTTATTTAGCCTTTTATGTATGTTTTCAGTGTTGAAAAATAAGGTTTTGTTAGTTAAGGTAAAAACTAACGCCGTTGTTTCGGCAGTTGTTAAGGAAGCTAAAATACAAGGATTCAATAAAATCTAATTTAATAAAGATTTATTGAAAGTCTTTGAAAATGGTTTTGAGCTGGTAAATCTCTGATAAATTTTGCACAAAATAATTAAATAACATTTTTCAAAAGTTTTATAGTTATGAGGGGTTTCCCACTATATTTTCTGAATCTCGGATTTTTTTCGTCTCGGTTCTCGGTCAATACGAGACAATATTTTTCTGAGACGAGATCTCATACCAAACCGAGATAAAACTGAGATTTTTTCTAAAATGTAATGTGATCATAGCAAATGTGATAAAGTCGTTGTGAGAGAGAGCTGGATTTTGTACAAATACTTTCCCCATCCATAGTTTGACCAATTCAATCTCGGTCAGGATTAATGGCGAAAGTCATTAATTGATAATTTTAAAACCTCAAAAGGGTTTTAGCATCACATTCTTTTTCCATTTCGGTCATACCAATATTTTGATTGTAATTGTTGGGTCCAAAAATATGGATGTTAATAAGTTTAATTTGTTTAATTGTTGCCTCATCACTCGCATAGGAAAACTTTCCTCCATTGGATTTTATCAGTGTTATTTCCTTCATCACTTTGCCCCTCGCAAACGCTAATGAGCTATAAATTGTCTGACAAACTCTCTCGACGTTTTTGAGAGCTTCAACCTTTGTGTAATTTTCAATCAGCTTTTGCTCCAATGGATTCGCAATTTGGTTGAGAC